AAAAAAAAAAAAAAAAAAAAAAAAAGATAAAGAAAATTACAGCAACATCTATGAAGCAGTTGTAGACACCAGTACATCAGGTCACCTAGAAACTCATCAGCTATTTCTCTTTTTAAATATGGCACGTAAATTGGAGAGAATGTTAATTCTCTTAGCAGTCGGAGAGTTTTCCTTGGGCATCTTAGGAAACGCATTCATTGGACTGGTAAACTTCATGGATTGGGTCAAAAACAGGAAGATCACCTCCATTGACTTAATCCTCACGAGTCTGGCCCTGTCCAGGATTTGCCTGTTGTGTGCAATATTACTCGATTGTTTTATTTTGGTGGTTTATCCAGATATCTACGACAACAATGAAAAGATGAGGCTCATTGACTTCTTCTGGACCCTAACCAACCAGTTAAGCGTCTCATTTGCTGCTTGCCTCAGTATTTTCTATTTCTTCAAGATAGCCAATTTCTTCCACCCCCTTTTTCTCTGGATGAAGGGCAGAATCCACAAGGTGATTCTCTGGACCCTACTGGCAAGCCTGGTGCTCTCGGTACTCATCAGCCTTCCAGTCACTGGGGACTGGAATGATAATTTCAGACGCTGTGTCAAGGGAAGAAAGAAAACCAACTTCACCAGGAGGTGTGGAACTAATAACGACCTGTACGCTTCGACCAAGTTGATTCTCAACCTGGTCACCTTGTTCCCCTTTGCGGTGTCCCTGTTCTCCTTTCTCCTCCTGATCCTCTCCTTGTGGAGACACACCAGACAGATGAAGCTAAATGCTACCGGCCACAGAGACCCCAGCACAGAAGCCCATGTACGAGCCTTGAAATCTGTCATCTCATTCCTGATTCTCTTTGTTGCTTACTGCTTGGCCTTTCTCATAGCCACCTCCAGCTACTTTATGCCAGAGACCGAATTAGCTGTAATTTTTGGTGAGTTAATAGCTCTAATCTACCCCTCAAGTCATTCATTTATCCTAATCCTGGGGAACAATAAATTAAGACAAACATCTGTGAAGTTGCTATGTAAAGTCAAGCATATTCTAAAAGGAAGAAAAATCTTGACATAAATGTATTAGAAGGGAAGTTGCCATTTTCTAGGACAAAGGAAGAGAAGATTGTTCTTAATTGTCTTGAGTTTTGCATTGATGTTGGTTTCACGTAGTTAATGACTCTTAAAATTTGTTTAGTATACTTATAATTTAGGACAGCTGATGTAGAATAACTTCACATACCTGTATCTGTCTGTCTCTGTCTCTATCTTCTTTTCATGGTTGGTGTTTTTAAAAACATATTTTAGAACAAATTGTATTGAAAATCCTAACATTAACAGGTAGGAAAATGTATTTTCATGGTTCTAAATCAGTTCTCCAGATACAAAGTTGCATAATTAATTCAAAACAACTGAAATAGGATCTTGTTGTTATTTGCATCCTTATGAAAAGTAGATGTTTCACACCCAGGATCCTAGTTAGTCTTTTCTTCTCAGATCCTCCAACTCAGCTTCTCCTTTGGAAAAGACTCAATCAGGTAATAAATCTTAATAAATGCTCTGGAATTATGAGTGTACTGATTATAATCATGGTTAAGATTATTTAAGGATCAGAGGTCAATGAATAAAAGACACTGTAGAAGGGAAGAAGGGAACTTTTATGTAGAAAGTTTTTGTAAATAAAGAGCCTACTGATTATTTATCAAAGGAATTTTCTCCCTGAAAAACACATACTATACCGGGCAATGATTATTAAGAAACTGTGATGACAACTTTAAAAATCACATTGCTTCTTTTGTGAGAAACCCGAAGGGTAAATAAGGAGCAAAACAGAAGAAAGATATCAGGAAGTAGGAAGAACTTGTTCACATGGGAAGGGAAAACAGGGAACAAGCAGTTGGGAGAGGAAGGGTTTTTTTGAAGGAGAGAATGGAAGGGGAAATGTAAACAAAGTCTTTGTAAATGGGGAGAGGAAGAAAGTTTAAAGGGAGGGGAAGGAAATGGGAAAAAAAGAATTAATACAGTATGTACAGGTACAAATCCCTATGTTAATGTGATTGTGATGTATGTCAAATATATACTGAAGAAAGGTTTAAAAAAGAAAGATACTGTGATGAGTCGTTCAATCAAAGGCTGAAATTAAATGTTGAGATGTGAAAATGTCAAAACTGTCAAAGAAACCTAGGTTCAATTTAAATCATCTCTATATGCTTGGGAAATATTTGGGCGGTCTATAACACATTTATAAGATATCAGTTTGGAGCATTCCATCAAATGCACATTATTTGCATGTAACAAAGATATTTTATGGTCACCAACTCCATTACTAACCAGATAGAGCAGCCATGAACTGTGTATAGAGCAGAAACTGTTTGTAAGTGAAGACACATTAAATACTCTCACCAATAAATTTGCTAGAAACCAAAATTACTTTTATACTAGTTTCCTGTGTTGTTCTCTGAAGACAATAGAAAATGTACACATCAATTTAATTGACAGATTTTTTTCCTCATTGAGTATTGGTACATTTTAGGTATACAGAACAGTTACATTCATCATTGGGATCTTGTACCTTTACATGACAGGTCTTGGTTCTCACTTTTTCTCCTTATCCCTGCCCTCCCTTCACCCCCTCCTCCCTTCCCTATTTATAAAAGCTTTATTTCCATTTTTTCATTTTCTCATATTTTTTATTTTCCCTTATTACCTTTCCCCTACCCTTCCCACTTCTCCCACACCTTTAGCCCTTTTCTTCCTATTTCACATCGTCAATTGTTAATTGACAGATTTAAAAGGATTGACTGAGTACCCTGTAAATTAAAAACAGTGGAAAACTAAATGCATGGGCTATATCCTACCTTCCTGGACAATGAGGGTCATTGCACCCCACGGAAGCAGAGGTCCAGTCTTCATGGACGTACTAGGCTCGGGGACAGATGAATCCTGAGGGCTCATGGCGATCTTAGCTCTGACCCATAAAGGTGGAATCTCAGACCTCAGACGGGAGTCCTGAGGTGACTGAAGCTCCTGCTACAGAAACTCCGGATTCCTTGGAACTCTGGGTCACCACAAGCACATCCTTCCCTTTTGCAAGCGAGTAATCCACTGCACTCCTGGAAACTGCTCACGTGCATTAATCTGGGGTATGTAAACGTGTGTTCTTCTCAAGACGTGCCCTGCCCCTCCTCGTGTCTCAGGCAAACATTTTAGCACAGTGTTTTGGAATTTCTGCTTCAAAAGAAAACTAGTCCAGTGTAAGTGCTGTCACCTTTAGTTAATACCGCACATGAAGAGGGCTCATGCTGGAAATGGATCTTCCTGGTGGTGAACCAAGGAGTCTTTTTGTGGGGGGGTTGGATTTTTCTTTTTCTTTTTGAAACAGGGATTTGCTATGGACTTCAGGCTGACCTTGCACTCACTTTGTAGCCCAAATAGTGGGTCATGACTGAAGAATCTTTGTCAAATTACCTCTGTCAGCCAGGGTTCCCAAAAGGCAGAAAAATTGATCAGGTTTTTATTTTATTTCCACCCCTCCTTAGACAGGCATACTGTGATGTTAGGTGATTTTGTAATTGGTGAGGGGCATTCAGCCAGGTGCTGGTGTCCACACAAGGGCAAGGACATCTGGCTTCTGAATCCCAAGGAGCTTAGCCTTTTCAGTGTGAGACCTGGGGCTGCACAGGTCACGGAGGGACCCGGAGGATGACCTGCAAAGCTCCCATGAAGGAACTGACCCAGAAGATGCTGTCAGGTTCCTATGACTAATTCTTACTCCTCCAGCCCCCACACTTACCTGGGAATCTCTGTTTGAATGCCTTCTCAGAGGCTGGGATATTCATCCTCCCTGGCCTAGCTCTTGCAGAGTCAGTAACTCCAGGAGATGAAGGCACCCCTAGCACACCCACACTGGATCTGACTCTATCTAAATCAGGCTCAGACTCAGTAAACCCAACATCGAAGCCACATTCCACTCCTCCAAGAGGCAGCAAACATAGAAGGGGCCCTCTGAGTCCAGGTCCCTCCCCTTTTTTTGGTACAAGAGTTCATTAATTTATTTAGTCAAGAAAAGTAAACATCTTTTTTTAAAACTTTCAATAGCTGGGCATGGTGGCACACACCTGTAATCACAGCACTCGGGAGGCTGAGGCAGGAGGATCTCTGTGAGTTCGAGACCAGTCTGGGCTACATAATGAGTTCCAGATCAGTCTCAATTATATAGTGAGATCCTGTCTCAAAAGACCAAAACCAAACCAAAATAAAACAATCACTAAAGTGTTCGAAGTACACTTTCTAAAATGGAACTCTAGTGGCCAGGCGTGGTGGTGCATGCCTGTAATCCCAGCACTTGGGAGGCTAAGGCAGGAGGATCGCTGTGAGTTCAAGACCAGCCTGAGCTACATAGTGAGTTCCAGGTCAGTCTCACTACATAGTGAGACCCTGTCTCAAAAAACCAAAACCAAAAAAAAAAAAAAAAAGAACTCTAATGTGTACAATATTCATTTGAAAATATTCTTACCTTTCTTCTGAGCCATATAATGGAGCAAGTCCAAAATTTGCAAGTCTTATCTGCCCCTATTGTTTAGAAGGGTATTTGAACACTTAATATCTCCATGCAAAAAGTTCTTACAACAATAATGTAGACCTCCCATGCCCTGTCTCATAAGTGACTTGTGATTTTCATTAAAATGAACCAAGCCTGATTCCAGCAGTCGTGGTCCATGCACTCAAACACCAGATAAAATGCACCTTTGTCCTTAAAATCCAAAGCATCTTCTGTGTCAGTCACTATTCTGTTTTTTTTTTTGTTTTGTTTTGTTTTGTTTTGTTTTTTTTTTTTTTTTTTTTTTTTGTTTTTTTTTGTTTTTTTTTTTTTTTTTTGGTCTTTTGAGACAGGGTCTCACCATGTAGTTGAGACTGACCTGGAACTCACTATGTAGCTCAGGCTGGTCTCGAACTCCCAGCAACCCTCCTGCATCAGCCTCCCGAGTGCTGGGATTACAGGCGTGTGCCACCACGCCCGGCCCAAAATAATTCTTTTTTTTTGGTACCGGGGATTGAACTTGGACCCTTGCACTTGCAAGGCAGGCCACTGAACGGCTGAGCTAAATCCCCAGACCCACTATTCCTTCATGTTGATAATACTCTGGTGGGTAAGCTGTCGGAGAATTTTAATTTCTTGAACTGCTGTAATTGGAAAGCCTTCTTTGGACTTTTTTTTAAGGCTACCACTTCTCTAGTGTCTATATCCCTGGCCTTGTACACTTGTCCGTAAGTACCTTCTCCAGTAATTCCCGTGATATCAAACTTACCCTCGCAGCGCTTTCCCCAGCCAATATCTTTTTCTTTGACTTCAGCATAGCGAGGCCCACATGTTTTAGGTTTCCGTTTACTATGCAACTGCGTTCCATTTTCTTGTCCTCTGAACTCTTGGAAAGATCATCTCCTCCTGGTAGCTCAGGGGGCAGTGGTAAATCAGCAAGGAGACATCGGAGTTTCTTTTCTACTTCTTGTTCAACTGCTTTTACTGAAGTATTTCCTCTCAAGCTGTCGTCATCTTTATCTTCAGGCAGCATGGGAGACAACGGTAATGGGAGCATAGAGGTCCCTAAAGTCACGTGTTGCTCCTTCTCTTCGGCCCCTACGCTTGGGGTCAGTGGTTTGTTTTTCTTTTTGAGAGATACTGGGTTCCTCCTTCCCGACTACAGCTGTTTTCTTGGTGCTTTATCTACAATCAAATTATTGTCTACCTTTTTCACCTGAAGAGGTGGCTTTGTTTCTGGCTTGTGCTTTACTTTTGTTTGGTACGGGATCGAACTCGGGTCCCTGCGCTTGCGAGGCAGGCGGCGGAATGCCTTGTCCTTTTTTAGGGAGAAGGCACGCGCTGCGTTTTAAGTTTCTTCACACACGTGCTGGTTTGTGACGAGCGGTCTCTGGTTTCAGTGTTGGTTGGTGTAGACGTGTTGGGGATTTTTGCAGCTTTTGCCGCTGCCGCTTTACAGCTTCTGCAGCTCCTGCCGCCTCTGCAGCGCGTGCTTTTCTATTCTTATTCAACTCAGCAGCCAGGCTCCTCTTCAGAGT